AAAATTAAAAGAGGAATACAAGTACTGAAGGGATTATTAATATCAAAATGGAAAAAATATTTTTAGGGATTCGATTCTGCGACTGTTCCATCTAGAGATCTCTCAAGTGCACTTTCTAACTAACCAAAGCACCCACCTGCTTATTTTGTTCCTGGGTGCTTACTAAAATTATTTGTTAATTTAATACTAATTGTTTACATAAAAGAGTGATTCCGCACCAAAAGCAATGGGTGCTAGAGCACCCATATGGCTCCAATATATATATATATATTTATATATATATATATTTGGTTTATGTTTTGGTATTCCCTTTGCCAATGTATATTTGTATATTTAATATTATTTGAATACTCATAGTCTCCTAATATATGTAACAGGTGAAAAATCTTATATCTTTGGCTGGTCCTCATGCTGGGATAGCTTCTGTTCCTTTCTGTGGTGTATGTGCTCTTTGATCCCATGAACTAACAATATTTAACCGCTTCTTTGGTTATGTTTTGGTGGAAAGATAATACTAGTGTCTATTCTTTCCTCTTTTAGCAGTCAGGTTTATTGTGCATTCTAGCTGACTCTTTGCTCAAGTTAGCAATTTACAGCAATTTTGTACAGGTCTGATTTTTTCTTTGATATACTACTACTATGCAGTCCCTTTATTTTCTCATCTTTTTTGTTCTTTTCTTTTCCCCTTTCCTTTTTTGGAGTTGATTCTCATATCAATGCAATTGCAGGAACATCTTGCTCCTGCAGGTTACATTAAAATCCCAACAGTAAGTTATGTGATCATAAAAAGTTCTTGTTTATTGTCTAAAACACTATTAGCTTATGCTCTCTCAAATATATCATTCTATCCTATTTGATCATTCCAGGACATAGCTGACTACAGAAAAGGATGTAAGTTCTTACCAGTAGTTAATAATGAGATACATGGAAATTCTACTTTCAAGAAACGCTTTGCAAGCTTGGAAAATTTAGTACTTATTATGGTGAGCAGGGAATTCTCTTCTTATCTGCAACACAATGATATCGCCTTTTAACTCTTCATCTAAATTTTGTCCATGCACCAAAAAGTGTTAATCTGGAAGATCAAAGAGGCTCATAATCTTTTACTTCTTTTTATCCTTATCAGTTTGAGAAAGATCAAATTTTGGTACCAAAGCAAACCTCATGGTTTGGGTATTATCCTGATGGTTCCTGGAGCACTGTTTTACCTGCTAAAGAGGTACTAATATGTGACATTCTACGTGTCAACTTGACTCCCTTTTAGGAATATGAGAGAGATGTTTCACTTTTTTTCCTGATGTAAAATCAATCAAAGTTTCATCTTTTTAGGAGTTTCTTATCTTGATTGTAAAATCAATCAAATTTTCATCTTTTGAAAGGGGGAGCCTTGGCGTAACTGGTAAAGTTGTTGTCATGTGACCAGGAGGTCACTGGTTCAAGCCGTGGAAACAGCCTCTTACAGAAATGCAGGGTAAAGTTGCATATAATAGACCCTTGTGGTCCGGCCCTTCCCCGAGCCCGCGCATAGCGGAAGCTTAGTGCAACGGGCTGCCCTTTCTTTATCTTGAATAAGTTGGAAGTTATCAATTGTATTTTCTTATTCAATTAGTAGTGTTTGTTTAAAAAAGCAGTAGAGCCTTTTATGTCCTTGATTTTCTGCAAGATATTTCCTGATATTATTATATGATTATGTATGTAGACAAAGCTCTATACAGAAGATTGGATTGGTCTGAAAATTTTGGATGAAGCTGGAAAAGTGAAGTTCTTGAATGTATCTGGTAATCATCTTGAAATATCTACTAGTGAAATGAAGAAAAACATACTGCCATATTTGGTGGATAATGCATCCACTACAGTGACTACATCAAGATCATCTGATCTATGGCCTTCGTCTGTCCGGAATTTCGACGATAAATTGAATGGTGTTGGAGAAGAAATTCTCGAGCTGCATACTCATGTTGAATCAGTTAGCTTAAGATCATGGACATTTTGGTAGGGGAAAAGGTAAACAATGAAGAAAAACCAAGATCAGGCTCTTGCCTTCAGCTCATTCCACGACCTGATTTTTTTCCTTGTATATGTCATTTTTATCTCTACTATTCATTGTATAACAACATGAAATGTGTTTGCTAGCTCCAAATTAGATATCACCTCAGTTGTATGAGAAGAGCCAAGGCTAGCTTACTACATATCAGTTTTCTACAAAAATTCTAATCTTAACTGGTGTAACTTTCTTGCTGTTTTAACCTTGCATTTCTCCTCCTCTTTTTAAGAAGTCCTAATGAATGGACGTGGTAGGCGATCAATTAAAATGGTGACACCTTGCAATATGGGCAAATGCAACCATGACAAGCATAACTCTGGGACATGTTTACTTTCTTTTATACTTTTATATTTACGGGTAGAGCTGTCAATATAGGTTTGGCCCGTTGGATCGGTCCAACTCAGCATAGGGTTGGACTAAAAATTTTGGAGCTCATTTAAAGCCCGTGTAAGTTGGTTAGGCTGGGCTGAGCCAGCTCTATTTGGTGGCTATGGTTTTCGTTGCAGTGTTTCTTCCCTTTTTATTTCAAAAAATCAAGGGAGTAGGGGAAGGGAAAAATAAAATTACGTACGGTAAATTATTTAATGTTAGTGAAGTGTGAGACCCCCTACATCTCCAGTATATCCCAGATTTCGAGATTTTACATTGGTCTTATCACTGCTCAGTGGTGGCAAAATAGTTAAAGAAAACAGTTACTCACCTATATTATCCATTAAAAAATAGGTTTGGATAATAAACTTTTTAAAAATGGGTCAAATATGAATAAGAACCATATTATCCATTTTCTAAATTGATAACCAATGAGTTTAACTTTTACATTTATAAAGCATCAAATTGAGGGTTCCTCAAGTTTGGGAAACTAGAAATTCTCTCAAAAGTGATCGTATTCAAGAAGTCATGGATAATATGGTCTCATATTATCTGCCGGTTAACCCCCTTTTTATTATCCGTATTAAATATGAGTCGGGTCAGATAATTTGTCCAATTTTTTATTACCCGTTTTCAACCCGAACCATATTCGATCCGACCCCGCCGTTTGCCACCTAGAATTGTCAGGTGCATCGGAATTCAAAAGGTTAGATTTTTTTTTTTGGTTGAGCAAGTAATGGTTTGGATCAACTAGAAATATTAACCAACCTAATGGAAGAAGAATCCTTTTAAATTTTTTTATTTTATGGATGATGCTAAAATACATGAATATAACTCTATTTCACAAAACTAACTGGAATTTTTCTGAAAATGGAAAAGAACAATGAATAGTTCACCTCAATTAAATAAGTAATCAATGGTCATAGGTAGAGTACTTTTTAAGCTTCATTTTCCTTCTTTATTCTCCAGACATTATTACATATTTAAATTTAAAAAGTACCTTTGAAAGTCCTGTTTTGGGTTGAGAAGTGAAGAAAATACTAGGTTTGAGTTGCAATAAGACTTAACCAGCACCAATGAATAATTAATTATGAACTACTATACACTTATAGCCCGTTTAGCCAAGCTTCTAAAATCAGCTTATTTTGATAAGTGTTTTTCTCAAAAGTACTTTTTAAAAAGTGTTTTTGGTGAGAAGTAATTTATGTTTGGCTAATTAATTTGAAAATCACTTTTAAGCAGTAATTAGTGTTTGGCCAAGCTTTTGAAAACTGTTTCTAAGTGTATTTTTCTCAAAAGTGCTTCTTAGAAAAATGCTTTTGGAGAGAAGTTACTTTTTTCTGCTTCTCCTCAAAAACACTTTTTTTCCTTCCAAAAGCTTGGTCAAACACCTCAATTTTTGGCCAAAAGTGCTTTTAGCCAAATAAAGCACTTTTGGCCCAAAAAAAAAAGCTTGGTCAAACAAGCTATTAGTATTGTATGGCCATTTTACCAATGCTAGCCATTTAGAATTAGACCACTTATCTTGGCCTCTAAAAGCTCAGTGGCCCTTGGATATTCACTTTCATAAGTTGAAGCTAACATTGCAAAACTTTGTTTAGCAGTAATATATTTTTGATAAACGTATTTGGGCAACAGCAAACCCAGTATATTCCCACAGGTGGGGTCTGCGGAGGATAGTGAGTATGCAGGTCTTACCCCTACCTAGTGAAGATAGAGAGGCTGTTTGAAAACGTATACGGGCAAAAAGGATAAAACTTAACATACTTGAAAGACACCATCAACTTTCATCCAAACCACCTTAAAACACAGCTACTATATCATAGAAATTCTTTGAAGTGTTTGTACAGAAATAGTCAGCATGCTAATGTCTCTGCAAATCTATAATGTACAGGTATTGAACAAACTGCCAGGGTAAATTAAAATACAAAAACTGAAAAATCAACTGGACTTCGAAACTAACGCCTGCCAATAGATCTATTAAGCCTAAGCTTAAACAGACACAAATAATGACGAAAATAACTAATAAAAAGGAAGGGGAAAAAATCACACCCTATATACCCAAGAAATAAAACTAGAAGAAACTCACAAGAAGGCAGACATTTGGGTAGAAAAATAAGAAGCCTTTGCCTCTTCCCAAAAGCCAGCACCATTAGTTTCAGAACGCTAACACAAACTGGAAGCATAGTGCCAATGGCACCGAGAGGAGTATACCTACCACTACTGCTGAGTAAAGTGCCAATGGCAATGGCCGCAATGCACAAGCCTAGGATCATAGTAGTCTTCGTCAGGCCTTAGTTTGAGGATTCTGTATGATGGTGCTCCAAGTTCCGAAGTACAATCCGTGCAAAGATTTTGGCTTCGATAGGGGCACTGGCTGCTGCTGCAGCAGCACGCAAAATCCTTGATGCTCCGGTATTCTGCAATAAGCGGACGTGATGTTGTGCATGCCGACCACCTGGGATTGTGAACTAGGAAAATGTAAACACAAGATCAGTTAAGTTACCAGTTCAAAGTATAAAAGCTGATATCAGAAAAATGGCAGTGTCACTCTCAAAGAGAATCATTTACCTGAAGAAGGGCAAATGCAGCACATGCTTTGAGAATAGAAGAAGAATTTCGTAACATCGTAACAAATCTTCCAATCTCAGCTCCACTGAAGAGGTAGTTTAAGGAAATCATTAATAAAAAAAGGCAGAAGGATAGCTAAGAAAATTAACGAGGGAAAAGAAGATGAAGATTCAAAAAGGCAAGAGAGAATATTTGGGACCCAGGGGAGTTGCTAAAACAGTTAAGCACCACAAATTTCGATCTTGCCACGTCACAACATGGTGAAATGAAGCAATGTGTTGAATTTCATAAAATTGACTCAATAAAGTTTTCTATGTTGCTTCCCCAGGAAATGTACAGGCATTAAGCCCTAGGATTCTCGATGAGCTAGAGACGGCCACCTTTTTCAGAGAGTGAATGATGCAGACTGCTGACGCAGAAAATTACACACACGATGAGATTTTTATGACAAGTGAGCTTATGTGTACAAAACATCTTATCAGTAAGTATAAGATAAAAAAAATTCAGAAAAGGATAAAGAGAGGGAGAAAGAGAGAGTTGAGGGTGAGGGGAGGCAACATACATACCTGCACCTTAGATGACCTGCTTCATGAATACGAGCTGATTCTGTAACTTGAGTTAATGGTGCAGGGGCAGATGATGCAGCAGCAGCTGAAAATGCTTGTGGATCAGAAAATGCAAGGATGAAAGCTTCAATGTTCTTTAAAGCCATTCTTCGAGCTCCATCTAAGTTTACACTCTTAGAGGTGCTATCTGAAGAAGTTCCCACAAGTGCAACTTCATCCATTCTGTCAGAAAGAGGAAATGACATTTTAACTTTTACGCACAAGGAAAGAATGTATCAACGTTCCAGAATGCCTCAAATCATTTCTTTTTCCCTTTGACAAGTGAGAACATCTCAAATCACTTTGTTCAACTTTGTTTTCCTATTGCAAGCACCCTTAGTGAAGCAGTTGTATTTTAAAGATTTCAGCTGAATCCTCTTGGCAGTATGTCCTCTCCCCGTTTGAAATCCAATTACAAGAGTTCCTTTTTTGTTTAGCCTCTCCCATGGAGTAGGTCCATTGTCTATTCACAAAGTTTTATAGAACATGAAAAAGAAAATTTCTGAAAGCTTGAACAAATACACTGATAAACAGAGATTACACAAAATTTATTTTGATTCTGACAATTGGATGCACATGCGGAACAATGACACGTTTTGAGAAACCTACCTTAAATTTTACTGTAGATGCAATATTCAATCAGATTTTACGTTCCAAGAAAAAAACGGAAGAGCAAAAGCATGAAGAGGAGGATGATTTCACATTACCCAGCAGAGTAAGCAGATGAACCACGATTCTGTTAACCGGTAAAAATATACAACAGAGGAACATGTCTATCTCACTTTTCAATATACCACCTATTACCTCTATCCACAATTTTTCAATTTGCTTTGTGGGAATGCCCCATTATTTGGTCACATTTCTACAAAATAGATCTTTTCAATCATAATCATCCGTAAACTTTAAGTGGACGAGCATGATTATTGGAGATCAAAACTTCTACTTTCCTCTAAATTGTGTGAAAAAGCTACCACAAAAGTATTCTGGGTGAAGCAAGACATATACATCATAACCAATCCATATGAGAGTATTCTTAGATGGGCATAAACAGCACCAGAAGTTAACTGTCGACAAGAAAAGTCACATGAGCTTGTCCAGTGAGATTTATCACAAGAAAAGCTAGCTTCTCTATCTCCCACATGTCGTCAAACTCGCTTGGGTGACAACCGTCAAAGTTAACTAAGCCCTTGAACTCCTCTACAGGCTACTATATCCCCATTCAAGCAACACAATTACATCCAAAGGAATCTCGAGAACTGGTTCTCTTCAACTGAGATCTACAGAGAAGTTTTCATGAGATAACGATGTGCTGCTGACGGATTTCTTTTCTCTACTACATCCACAAGTAGCCATTCATAGGCACATAACACCCCCCCCCCCAACAAAAAAAAAAAAAAAAAAACAAAACC